GGCAGAGTTCAGAATTTTTGTACATAGAGTTGCTATGAGGTGCAGGTGACTTGATAGCATACAATAATCACAACAATAAGAGTCATTAGCAGTCATACTTCAGGAATCTATGAGAGGATATGCATCTTAAGAGAAGGAACCTCTAAAATAAATTATGTGTTATTTCTATGCTGACAAAGACTATAACTGTCCCTTAAAAATGATGACAACAAAGACAATAAAACTACTTTTACAGCATTTATTAACTTGTCATCAAAATGAGAGTATCTTGAAATAATTATTCTAAAATGTTCCACGTATTATTCTTTTTAATGCTCCCTTTATTTGCTTGTTTCTAAGACTATAGATAATAGGATTTAAGAGAGGGGGGATTATACAGTAGAACACTGAAATGATCATATCCTGAAATGTAGGTGAATTAGAGATTGGATTTATATACACAGCAGCACCTGTGGTGGCAAAGACTGTCACTACAATAATGTGAGGGACACAGGTGGAAAAGGCCTTTCCTCTCTCTCCTCTAGTTGGAAACTTGAGCACAGTAGAAAATATCTGAACATAAGACATGATGATTAAGAAAAAGCATCCACCTGCAACTAATATTGCAGAAACAAAAATTTCCATCTCATTGCTGAAGATGTCAGAGCAGGAGAGTTTCAAAAGAGAGGGTATGTCACAGAAGTACAGTTGAACCACATTGGAATGACAGAAGGTCAACTGGAATGTGCTGCCTGTGTGGAATCCTGAATAGACAACTCCACTGAATATGGAAACCAACGTCATCTGCACACAGATCCTAGTGTTCATAATCACAGGGTAGTGGAGGGGATGGCAGATGGCCACATAACGGTCATAGGCCATAATAGTGAGGAATAGCATCTCTATAAAAGCAAACAAAACCACAAAGAAAATCTGAGCTGCACAGTCTGTCATGGAGATCACCCGGTTATCAAGCAGGAAGATGATGCACGCCTTGGGTACAGTGACAGAAATGTAACACATGTCCAGAACAGACAGATTTCTTAGAAAAAAGTACATAGGGGTGTGAAGAGTCTTGTCAAAAGTGGTTACTATGACAATAAGAATATTTCCCAGTAAGGTTGCCACGTACATCAACAGGAATAGCATAGCATGCAAGATTCTGAGTTCCCACATGTCAGAAATTCTTGTAAGCAGAAATTCAGTCACTCTGGTAAAATTGGCCATACTTAAGTATATTACTGTGGACAGGAGAGTGATAGACCATTCTGGGAAAAAATAAAAGAAACACAACCAAACAGAATAAATATAAGGAAATATGTTAACTATAGTTATTATCTTACATTAATTCAATTTTCTTATGTCTAATTTGTATGATTAGCAGGGAATAATAACATTGATATCTGTTTTTGTATTTGTTTGGGTTTTTTTTTTACTACTTGTGTAGCTTCTTCCTAAGGCAATGATATAAA